GTTCAACCTCCAAACCTGGCCGCAGGGCATGTGCAGGAGGGAGCGAGTTCAGCACGCAGCCGGGGAGCTCGGCAGTGATTCGACAAGCCCTGTTTTAAATAATTCAAGCCGTGAGCCCTCTGCCCTCTCTTTTCCGGAGTTATTCCGCTCTCAGAAGCTCCTCGCACCAAACGTTCCCTCTGATACCCACCCCCGGAGCATCAGCTCCTTGCAGACACCCTTCGAAGTGCCTCTTCCCTTTTTGCTGGTTACAGTCGCTGCAGGGGGGGGGGGATTTGGGGGACTTTTTGCCCATGCTGGACCTGTCCCAGCACGAGGCGGGGGGGGGCCTTATGGCAGAGGAGATGCCCCATCAGCCCCATCATCCTGTCCTCAGGATGAAGCCACCTTCCCCAGGCAGGTGACATTTGCTGCTTTGGGGACCGCTCAGGAGCGAGGTGAAGGCAGGAGCGGGCGATGGGCAGCAGGATGCTCGGGATGCTGCCCGTAGGGTGCGACCTGGGGTTCACCATCCTGTTCTCATTGTGACCCCCTCAAAACTGCCCCCCCACCCCACCCCGGGCTTTATGCTGCACTTTTAACATATACCAACCAACAGTTAACGCGGATCGGTGCGGTTTGAGACGCCGCTTCTCAAATCCCCCATGGGCAGGGAAGGAAATATTTATTTGCGGCCGGGTATCTATTGAGGAAATATGAGAGAGACAATTTGGAGGGGGAAAAAAGAATAAAAAAAGAACAAACGAAACAACTCCAGCAGCCTCCCCTGCCTTATCAACGTGAACGTTCTCCCTCATCTGCTCTGAAATCTCTGCAATTTACTCTTCCTTCCCTTCCAATGCTTATGGCTTTTATGTTGTTTGAAGGTTATTTATAACAATTATGTAAGGGAGAAAAAAAGTGCCATAAACTGAGGTAATTTACTGTAAAATATATGAAATGCTAAAAAAAAAATAAATAAACAGATAATCAAGCAGCGCATTTCTGTGCTGGTACAAGTGCTGCAGGTGGAGGCACCCGGTGCTGCAGGCAAGGGCCCCGTTCCGCCTCCGCACAGGCGCCTTTGCTTCTCATCGCATCCACGCGATTCGATTAACGACTTCAGATTAGGAAAGAATAGCAAATCGTAGCAGACATGGCAAAGACGTGGGGGGACGCGCGTGGGAGCCAGGCTGCGGGAGTATGGCCAAACCAGCTGGGTTTTACCTTCATTTTCTGTAGGAGAGGAGCTGAGAGCATCCGTACCGGCCCGGGAAGCGCCGGGAAGGGTCCCACTGGGCTCCACACTGGATCCCTCCTGGTCCTGGGCTGCAAATGAGCTTTTCTCCGGCTCCCCGGCGGGGCTGGGAAGCCCTTTGTAGCGCTGGCAGCGCGTCTGAAGGATTGCAATTCTCAGTGGCAGGCTGCTTATTCAGGTCTGCCTCTGCAAATTTGATTATAATGGCTTAAAGAGAATCACCCCTTGATAAGGCTACCAAAAATAATAATAAGAAGAAAGGCTGAATGGGAATAAATGAATTCATCAAACTGAAAAACCATAACTCAGTCATTAGGCACATGCGGCGAAGTGAAGCCAGCAAGTGCTGACGCGGCGTTCGCGCTCTCAGTTCGGTCTCTCCATCACTTCCCCCCCTCTCATCCCCACCCCGGAGAGAGGGAAAACTCAGCAAAACCAGTCAAAAGCAGCCAACGGCGCGGCGATGCCCAT